AAGCATTTGATATTTGGTGAATGGATGAAAGGTATATTGTCTGGAAATAAGGTTGGTAAAAAAGAAAAACACTGGTTTCAAAAAAAAAAGGTGTGTAGCACATGTAGTTCAATAAAAGCTATTTATATCTGTATTTACTATTCTTTCTGTTCATATCCTCTGACAATTTCAAATGTCAAAAGTTTTTTTCCAGAAGGCAGGGCAAGCAATTTTTGTCCGCATCCCCTGAGGACCCCACGGCAGTCTCCAGAATGGAAAGAGAGACCATCCACCCTTGTCTCCTCACCCTTCCCTTTGCTCTGCTCTTCCTGGCCAACAGTCCATTAGTTGTTGGATAGCAGCCTGAGGGATGTCTTAGAAACATAAATCAGACCATGTCATCTCCTGCTTTAAATAGGCCAGGGGCTTCCTTTGCAGTTAGAATGCACCTGTAAGTTCTCACAGGACCTACAAGGTCCTCTGTGAACAGGACCCTGCTGACCCTTCTGATCTCATTTGTGCCCACTCTCTCTCCTTGTCCTCCTGTCCCAACGACACTGGCTTTTTTAAAAAATTATTTTAATATTTATTTATTTATCCATTCATTCATTTATTTATTTATTGACACTGGCTTTTTTAAAGGATCCTTCACTATGCCGCATTCATTCCCACCACAGGGCCTTTGCATTTGCTGTCTCCTCTTTCTAGAATGCTTCTGTCATCACTGAGGTCTGCAGAGAGGTCCTTTTCTGTCGGTGACTTCTATCAGATTGCCTTGTTTCATTTTCTGTGTGGCCGTTATCACCACCTGAAATCCTTGCATCCGTTGACTCATTTACTGACTCTCTGACCTCACTGGAACATTGGCTCTGTGTTGGTCATCCGAAGGCCACAACCTGATAACAACACTCTAGGTAGAAGGCTAAACGGGGGACAGTGAATTGTGTTTTGAAGCTGGCTGTTGTATCTGGGCTCTTTTGCCTTGTGAGGCAAGTGAAGGGCTGGAGCTGCTTAACCAGGTCACAGAGAGGTCACAGGTTCTTGTGAAAGCTCAGATCTAAGGCAACATCTGACCATGGGAGCAGCAGGGGCCAGTTCTCAAGAGTCTACACTGAGTGGGTCAGGCTGGGGCCAGGTTGAGGTTGGGGAGTTAGAGTCAGGGGCGGCCTCAGTTCCCAGATGTCTGACAACTAGGAAGTGCTGTCTTTGACCTTGTGGCAGGGCAGGGCTGTGTGGCAAGGGCTCTATCTGCACTCTCTGTAACCTCCCATTCATTCACATGCACATATGCAAAGTGTTTATTGGGCACCTATTATGAGCAGGTACTGCTGTAGCTGCTAGAGACGCAGCACTGACAAGAAAGCCCGCCTCTGGGACGCCTGTTTGGCTCAGTAGTTGAGAGTCTGCCTTTGTCTCAGGGCGTGATCCTGGGGTCCTGGGATCGAGTCCCACATCCGGCTCCTTGTCTGGAGCCTGCTTCTCCCTCTGCCTGTGTCTCTGCCTCTCTCTCTGTCTCTCGTGAATAAATTTTAAAAATCTTAAAAAAAAAAAAAAAAAAGCCCAGCTCTGTCCCTCATGGAGCTGACACTTCAGAGGGGAAGACAGATGATGAACAAAGGGAGAAACAATTGGGAGGGATGATTTCAGATGTTGATTAATGAAGAGGAGGTGGGGGATGAAAATGACCAGGGAGGGTGTGGGTGGGGAGGTGACTTGGATGGGGTGGTCCAGAGAGGAGTTGAGCAATCGAGTGAGCAAGTGTGGAAGATGCTTGTGGGGATCCATGTGATCCAGTCCCCAAACGGAACATCCCAAGGCAGAGGAAGGGGAGGAAGTGAGGTGAGGGGGTGTGGTGGGGAGGGAGGGGTCAGGCTGGCCTTGTGGCCGTAGTAAGTTCTCTGCATACATTCCTACTTGCTGCTCCTCAACAAAGCCTGAGTTAAATGTGTTGCTGCCCACCTCAGAGGTTCTAAGGCACAAGGAGAGCCTGCATTGTCCCCCACCCACAAATGACATCCCCACTGCTCTTGCCTGGAAGCACTGAAGCAGTTGGGTCTGGCAAGCGGCAGACACTTCGCTTTTGGGTCTGTTGGTGTCTACGCCAGCCCTGGGAATGTTGGCGATTTTAATTCTACATCTTTGGGATGCCTGGGTGGCTCAGCGGTTGAGCGCCTGCCTTTGGCCCAGGGTGTGATCCTGGGGTCCTGGGATCGAGTCTCACATCAGGTTCCCTGCATGGAGCCTGCTTCTCCCTCTGCCTGTGTCTCTACCTCTCTCTCTCTCTCTCTACCTCTCTCTCTCTCTCTCTCTGTGTGTGTGTCTCTCATGAATAAATAAATAAAATCTTAAAAGAAATTCTATGTCTTTCCTGTGACTCTTCTTGAGGGGCTCTCGGACCACTCCACCCAGGATTGGGAGGGAAGAGGGCTAAAGGATATTTGCTCTTTGCTCGAGGCTGACTCTGAAATGTTAAGGGCATCTAAGAACATTTAAATGTGCGTAAAACATAAATATTATTTTGATCAGTTCTCTGGACATCCATCCTTCAGCAACAGGAGAAAGACATCTGTTTGAAAACTCCCTTCAGAAAACCAAGTGCGCATACAGCCGTATTGACAGAAGAAAGTACAGCGTGTAGAGAAAACACTGTGATAAAGCCGGTTTAGAGTAGAATCGAGTTTCAGAAATTCTCAGAAAGTGAAGGAAGACAAACACCGTGCTTATCTGCTCTGTAGTTCTCCTTCAATTCCTGGACATTTACCTCAATGAGACAAAGCTGCCTGTGCCCAAAGATGCTAATTTCAATGTCCCCTCTAATGGCCTGTACTCACGGGCACACGTGTACACACACATAAACCCAGGCATACTCAGATGTGAACACAATTTGTAACACATGGGACTCCACCAATAAAGTACATGCAGACTCTATTTTCATAAATAAGGCATTTTTGAAACTACCCAAAATCCCAAATAAGGGCTTACCTATAATAAAATCACTTCTTCAAAAAAATAAAAAATAAAATCACTTCTTCACCCTGTTAGACCAAACTCTCCATCATTTCTTGAATGGAGTTGAACACAGAGTCAACCAGCTACAGTCCAGTAAGCCAAGGAAGGACATGTTAGAAGGACCACCTTGCCACACACGACAGGTTCCCCTCTCTGTTGCAAATGTACCGCTTGAGCCCAGTGTTTCCTACCACTAATATAATAATATTTATTTTCCGGTTTTCTCTTGAATTTTACAAGATAATTAAGAAAAAACCTAATGAGAGTCAGACAACTACACAACAGCTGCTGGGAACTAAGGTGAAGACTCTACTGACACAGAACTGCTGTGTGGCGAGCAGCAGCACCAGGGGACAGTGTCACGGGGCAATCACTGGTCACGACCCACTGGCCACGGGCCACCTTCAGGGTATGAGAGGTGTTCTGGGGTGCCCCTGATGAACGCGAGAGTGCTTCAGAGCCAAATGCACCAATGCGGAGAACTGCTTTACGTGGTATGACCCCTGACTGCCTTGTGTCACCATCTAATAAAAACCAATCAATGAACAATAATCAAGGAGCTCAGCTGTGCTAAAATTAAAGGAACTCTAATACAGATTCTTAATTGTAAAAGGTGAGAAGCTCAACAGTTAGTGCTCAGTTAGTGCTCCTATTTATAGAAAGCCTTTTATTTTATTTATTTTATTTTATTTTTTTTATAGAAAGCCTTTTAAAACACAAATCATATCATATGTGCATTGGCAGTTTTGTAGGGGAACCCCAAAACCCTGAGCTGAGGTTACATCTGGACGAGGAGCTGAAGACGTACTGCCATTATGTGGACTGAGTATGAGAAGGACATTATTAATTCAATGTTAGATTTTCTTGCCTGTCATCATATTGGAGTTGTGTAGAAGAAGGTCCTTGTTTTTAGGAGACACCTATTGAGGTGAAGTGTCATTTAGGGGTGAGGTGTCATTATGCCTACAGTTTGTTTTCAAATCATTTAACAACAATCACAACAAACTGTGTGTACACGCGGGTCTAAATAAATACAAATGGATGCAGACAAATGTGACAAAGCGCCATGAACAGTGAATCTACGTAAAGGCTATACAGGGGTTACCTGAATTAACTGACTCCCCCACCCCCCAGTTTTCCAATGATTTAAACATTTTTCAAAGAAAATAGTTGAGTACAAAATTCTAGGGTAGCTTAGATATTTACAGACAATCCATATAGGAGAGGCTGTCATGGGCTTGTTGGCCATCAAGAGACATCCATTGTTATTATTTGAATAATAAGTAACATATATGTAATTCATAAGCAAGCTTCCTCTTTAGTAATTCTTTTTTTTTTTCCTGTTCTGGTTCAGATTTTAAAAAGGTATAGCAAGATAATCCTCAGACTTCATTTTCCTTGTGTCCTAGCTGTTTTTCCTTTCAAGCAGCCGTTGAGACTTTCTAAGTGGCGAATCTTTTTCGATGCGTGCCACAGACTTGAGCCCCACTCACACGTATCAGTACAGAAGTTCCCGGGAAATAGCCTGTAGCATGCCCCCTATGGACTCAGCACGGGAGGCTGAAGCCACATCTGGACTCTGCTCCTGGAAAGGGACACAGAATCACCCAGGCCGCCTGGGAGTGACACTAAGGGCCTGCGGGGTCCAGAGGGAAGAGAGGTCGGGGTGGGCTGAGGCTGAGACTCGCATCTTGCTCGAGAAGTTTGTTAGAAGGTGAGTGGACCCAAAGGGATGGTTGGGTTGTGTTACCAACCCCATAAACTGGCTTCTGCTGGGAAGTCATTTTCATCCACCTCTGAATCAGGCCTCACTGGTAGGGGCGTTGGAGCACGTATCTTCTCCGCACTTAGACTTACAAGAAACTTTTCCATCTCTAACTCACATGTTACTAGTATTCATTACTATTGACTTTTTTGACTTCCTTAGAAGCTTGGGGCTAAAAATCCGTCACTGTCCTTAACCATAGCAGGCTGTTTTTGCCCCCTGCCCCTCCAAAGGGCCCCACACTCACCTTGGGCGCACCATCCATGACGCCTGCTCCTTTCATCTTGGTGTGAACCGGCTCCCGTGAGCTCTCCGCCTGGTATCTCCGGCTTCACAGGAGGATTATGCAATGTCACTGCATGCCTCTGGCCGCTTCTCAGAAACTGGATTCTATGGAGCTGACAACACGGGAAATTGTCAAAACGATTCTCCCAGCAGGCAAACTTTCTGGAAAGCGCGATGAGAGTAAAATAAAAGGGCTGATGGGGATCCAGGCCGCGCTCACTCCTCAATGCCTGGCATGTCACTTGGTCTATAAGTAGAGATTGTCACACATTTGCTGTGTGAAACCACAAAAGAATAAAAAAAAAAATGCTCTTCTGCTTTATAGGGTGAAGTTCCTACTTTGAAAGCTCGGCGTTACAAACGCTCCACATTCGCCTCCCCACAAAGACTGTGAACGACTGCCACTACACAGACCGAGCTCGTTCTCCTGGTTAGAAGCCACTAGGCCAAATTTGTGATCATGGTCAACGACTCTTCCTTCCTGCTTCCTAAACTTGCCCCGCAAACGGCCGGGAGAAAACAAGTCGAGGGTAATGCCCTAAAGGACCTAGTCCCAGCCCATCTGTCCTCTGAAGCACACTGCTCCTTGCCCTGACCCCACGCCCACCTCCTGCTCTTTGCTCACAAAACTTTAAGATGACCATTTTCTGAGTTCTGACTCTGTACCAGGGCTCTGCTGAGCACCTTTCAGTTCGATTAAATTATCTCTTAAATCTCACCCATCCACCGTCTGAACTTGAAAACCACAACACTAGTTCATTGCAGCTCAGCATTACTTGCTAAGTCTTTTTTACTTTCCCTAAATTCAGACTAAACACTCAGTGGGAACCTATAGGGAAGAAGACTTCTCGTGAGGCACATTCACAGTTTTATTTCATTCAAACGAACTGGCACCCATTCTTCCGAGCCTGGCTTGGGTCGAGTCTCCAGCAGGTGGCCTCTCCCATTGCTACCTTCCTGCCGTGATGGCACTCGCTGTCGGGTCTGCTGGGCATCTATCCCCGTGTAGGAAGGCCTCACCAGTCAGGACACCAGGAAGGATTTACTGGTGTAAATAGCTGACTGATTTCTGGCTGAGACGATCCATATTTTAAATTGTTAGCATTGTTGGAATTTAACTTCCGGGCCAAGTAATGGACGTGCTGCAGATGGGAGCGCATAACAGGGAGGGAACATTGACCCCACAGAATGAACCCAAGCGGACTTAGCAACAAGTTCAAAGTGGAGGTCCACAGAGAAGCGGACAGAGATGGGAGAATGGGGAGGTATTTAGGGAGGGCTTCACGGGGAAGGCAAGATAGGAGAAGCAGGGGCCGATCGGTAGAGGCAGAGCTTGTTCCTAGCTGCAGCACTGTGAATGTGCAAAAAAAAAAAAAAAAAAAAAAAAAAAGGATGGAATTAGCAAGTTCCATTTAAGGAAACCAAGCAGATTCAGATGAAAGAGCAATGAGTCATAGGGGCTGAGGTTATGAATGACAGCCTGGACTAGCAGGAGGATTTTATCCTATTAGTCTTTACAGATAAGACGAATCATTAAAGCGGGTACTCCTGCAAGGCACATAGCCAGTGATACTTGTAAGGTAAAGGCCTCTACCAACCGGCAGGTGATTTCCATGTTGTTGAAAGTGAATCTGGACATCTTTCGTGGGTGTGCCTCCTGGCTGCTGCTTTCTTCTGGCCCCACTGGTGCCTCCACGTTGGTGGGCGTGGGTTGTCTGCGATCTCCGATGAGGAAGAGGCAGGCATTACGGAGCTGAGGCCGAGGTTCATGTTTCCAGGGTGGGAGTCTATTAACTTCAATTTGATGCTTCCGTGTATATTTAGATGTAATTATGTTATGATTTTGTTTTTTAAAATGCCCTTACCTCTCAAATGCGCATACTGAAAGATTTACAGATAAAGATCTGAGATTTGCTTCAGAATCATCCAAGAGAGGGGAAAGTGGCTGGGGGGATAGGTAAGTGAGATTGGCTACGAGTAGCAAACTGCAGAGCCCGAGTGATGGCTACATGGAAATGCATTGTACGGCACTGCCCACACTGAATTAAAAAAAAAAAAAAAACAACAACAGCTTTATTAAGATATAGTTCACATATCACAAAACTCATCCTTTTAAAGAGCCCAGTTCCATGTTTCGTATACGCAGAGTTGTGTAATCATCAGCACTATGTAATTTGAGAATATTTCGTCACCCTAGAAAGAAAACTCATACACGTTAGCGGTCACTCCTCATTACCCCAGTCCCTGGCAACCATTGTTTTTGTTGTGTAATTGACTTTTGCATATAATTTGGAAAAAAAAAAAAGTAAAAAGAAAGGATGGACAAACTTGCAAACAAAGGTCACAGTGATTAAGCTGAGGTAGAGTCCAGGCCCGAGCCTCTCAGAAAAAGGCTACCTTTACTCCAGGTCCAGTTTGGACAGTTCCTGTCATCTTGGCAAACTCCAGAGAGTGATTCTTCCCAATACTGAAGGACTGACCCTGGAGTTCCCAATACTGAGGTCAGAATGCTGTAACTTGCAGGTCTTCCTAATTTATTTTGTTTATTTAAGGGAAGACAACCTAAATTAAAAAGAGTTAAAGACACAAAAGCCATAGATTTGGCCCTGAAATCAAGCAGACTCACTCTTAAGGGGACACCTAGTGTCCTATTGTGGGAATGAGGGGCTGGGTTTCTCAGTCCACTATTTGGCCCTGCCATTTGTCTGAATGAAAGCTCTTAGACATTTTGCTGCAATCCATTCGTATTTACTTATTTAGGCAAGTGGTCCTTCTGTGCACAAATATTGAGGAGTTTGCTATTCCAGGAAATCAGGTGGCTTTTGTAATATCTCGCTGACCGGAGGTTGAAACAGCTAGACTTCAAGGGAACTAAGTTCGCGATGCTAGTGAGGTAATTCTCTCCCTTCTCTTGACAAACACTACTGAGAACAGTATCTTTGGATGAATTTTTAAGATCCAGGGCGTCTGATCACATCCCTTCTTCAGCTCCTCATAAATGTGCAGGAAGTTAGACTGCTTTTGTATGTGGGACTGTTTTTTGGTATGCTTTATACGGTTTTCACGTGGACTTTTAGCTACCAAGCTCCCCCAGGGGTAGTCTTTGAACATGGGGCACTCAATGCCTGAGTTTTTAAAGTGCAGCTGGGCATCAGGTTAAGAATGTCCAAAACATTAAAGGCTCGGCAGGAAATGTCAGACTGCGTGGCTGTAAGATCATCTGATGACCTGGCAGGTTTTAACCTCATGAAGATAACAGATAAATACAGCTCTTTCAGTCACAGCAGAATTTCCTGAATTGTCAACAAATTCACTTAAATTCCCTAACGCATGGATGAAACAGGGAGGACAGGGATTTTACAGCTCCTCTAATAGTCAGCGATGACTCCATTTCATAGCCTGAATTTTGATGCCAATGTGGAGAGGGAAAAGGAAGCAAAACTTGAGAAAACAGGATGCAAAGGAAATGCTGTGGGCATGGGCATGGGGGAGGCTGGAGGACAGGGCTGAGTGTTAGCAGAGAGCACGAGAAAACCCTGGGGAAGGATGTGGGGCCACAGGCAAGGGGTCAGTGTTGGGTAGGTAGCCAGGCTGTGAAGAACAAATTGGCCAAACGGTGAGTGGGAAAGACGCTTCTCAGATCAGAACACCCACCAAGGGAGTCAGAAGGCGGAGGGGAAAAGCTCCATCAAGACCAAAAGAACGAGGAATGAAAGCTATAGAAATGTTGACTGTGTTTAAAAGGTTCCTGTCGCTGTTGTTCAAATCCACTTGGTCACTTTAAGTCTCTTGGTCCTCGATCCTGTTTTAGGTCTTCATATTCGATGCACTCACATATTGTGCATTTGATCAATTCCACGTCTTCCAGCCGGACGCTCGTTTCTAGTTTCTACTGCTTCTCGTCATGGGGGTGGTTTCCTTAAATACTTGATTATGGAGCCATGATTTTCAGAGCTTATCTGGGAGAACTGGGGCCTGGGGTGAAAATGTGTTCTTCCTTCACTTGTGCTGGCTCCTTTTCTTCAAGCTACACAGGTAGTGCAAGTTGTTCTCATGTTACTTGGACAAATAGTGTGTAGACGGGACTGTTGGGGAAGACCCTCCCCCTAAACCTGAGCCAGCACCCAGTCAGGAAGGTCCTCGTTCCTGGAGGCAGGTTTTTGGCAAGTTCACCCTTTTGGGGGAGGGAGAGACAACTTCTGGCTTCTGGGCTTTCTTTCTAGGTCTTGACCAAGGCTCCCACCATGTGAAATCAGAGCTCAGAAATCATTAAGCTCTGGGGGACTGACAAGCGTCCTTGGTGCAACCAGCTGCCCCATAGCTCCTGGCCATCTTGATTTGTGCTGATTGTTTTTGCCTCTCAGGAATTCCCTGAGAATTTTTTAATAGCTCAGCTATTTAGAAATTTATTATTTTTTTAAAAAAAGATGTTATATATTTATTCATGAGAGACTCAGAGAGGCAGAGACATAGGTAGAGGGAGAAGCAAGGCTCCCTGTGGGAAGCCTTTTGTGGGACTTGATCCCAGGACCTGGGATCACACCCTGAGCCAAAGGCCAACACTCAACCACCAAACCACTTAGGTGCTCTGCTATTTAGAAATTTAAAATAAATTCTACGCAGGTGTGTACCAAAGGGCTCTCAGAGTATTCGGCTCACTGTATTTTCAGAAACAGAAGTCTCCTTGCAAAAGTAAATGCCTTCCCCTCCCCCAGATCTGTTTCTATGGTTTCTAGCATGCTGCGTTAAAAAAAAACAAAAAACAAAAAACAACCTAGCATGCTTCACTGAGTGCATGGTGGGGATGATTGTGATTAAGCTCCTTAATCACAGAAAAGAAAGCTGTGGCCCTGAAGAGAACTGGCTTGTTTTACTACTTAACAAGTCAGTAACAGAGGTGAGATGCCTCCCCCACATTACCCCTCCTAAGAGAAACCAAAGTCTAAGATGATTCTCTGAATCATCAAAAGAAATGGAATTATACTTTAGTTTTTTAAATTCATAGAGTAGGAAAGATACATAGCTAAAGGAGATTCGGCTATAAAAATCTGACTTCTAGAACAAAACGCTAAAGAAACAGTTAAGAAAAGTACTGAAGTCATAATTGTCCTTTGAGAACACATGTCAAAATACGGCAACATTCAAAGCAGGGTCCAAAAAAAAGAACAGCAACAAAAAAAAGAACTAGCTTTAAATTATCATTATATACAAAAAGTTTATTTTAGAAATCACATATCTTTAAAAAATAACATAGAAGTTATAAGCTCTTATCCTGACTTTGTATTTGCCGTTGGAAAGTCAGGGTGGTGCATGTTAATCACATGCTGATGCCAAGTCCAATATGCCAATATTCCTGGCATCCACAATATTAATGCAATTTAAAAAAAACTCTGTTTTGGAAACACAAAAGTATCTTGATCTTGTAAGTAGGAGTACTGAAACTATGTATACATGGACTGCTGAGACTATTCCAGAAACTGGAAAAAGTAGGCATCATTATTTAAATTCATGAACAGTTAAAAAGACCCAGCAGAACTTAAATTGGTAATGCAATGGGGTCACTCTAGTGCATGTGCTGGAGCAGAACGCAGAAATGGTCAGTCTCTGCTGTAGTTTCATAGGGTTGAAAGCAAAAGAAACATCAGAAAAAGAAGCGAGTTTTGGTTGGTAATTCTATGGAACTGGTTATTCTTGTTCCTATTCAGTAGGTTCCTTGTAATCTTACAAAAGCAGCACCCACAGATGGCCAAGTTCAAATACTGGGCAATCAGGACACAAAATAAAAATAAACCCAAACTCACTATATAGACCAAAAAAATACAGCTTTTTGGAAATCTGAACTAAAATTCTGATTTAACACATTAAGATCCTTAAAATGGTTTCACAGACCGAAGAGTTGAAATGATCCTTATGGAGGACTAATGCATAATTTTTATGCAGTAAACTTCAGAAGATTTTAAAGTTCCTAGAACATAAAACAATTACTTTAATCTATTTACTATTTTTATCAAATGACCCTAGATTATAATTTTAGGTACTCCTACCCAGATCATGAAAGTATTTGTATTTGGGGATAAATATATAGACCAAAGTTTATCTTTTAGAGTGGAGCTGAGGGTTCCCTGACCTAGCTTGAGCTGAATCCAGAGACATAGCATCACTTTCTAAAAAGTTTTAAGAGAAAGAAAACTAAACCTGTCAGTTTGTTAATTGCAAAAATCTTCCAAGAACATAGTTGTCATGTGCATCCACGGAGTTACGATTCAGGCTGAAGAGAAATGAAAAATGAGATTTAAAATGAAGAACCAAGTCAGTCAATATGAATCATTTGTGAAACAAGCGACACTGAAGAGTGGCAACAGGTTCACCTAATTTTGGTTAGATTGGACAGACCTACAATTAGGTTTCCATCAACTGGTCATAATCTTATCAGAAATATTTACTGAAGATAAGCACTGCAGGCAATGAGAGGAGAGGTGGGAGGTATGATGAAAGATCTATCTCTTATAAATCTTCAGGAAAATCTGGCCACTAATTTCATTGAAGTGAAAAAGGTGTAACAGTAAAGTTGGAAATCTGAGCTTTATTATCAGAATGATGTCATTTTAGGAGAGAACTGCTGGATTCTCTAAACTGTATTTAATATGGCACAAGACTCTTGATTCTCAGAGCTGTATGCCTACTTATCCACCAAAATGTACTCTGCAAGGAGATATATACACAAAGAGGGTGTAGAACAGGCATAAAAGCTGACAAAACCACCAGATGACAATTCCTCATGACAGATCCACTTGAGATCTAGAAAGCACTTTAATACTCTATCCTTCTTCAAATGATCGAGAGATTCAAGAGAAATGGCAAGTCTTATATTTACAAAACCGATGAAAATCACACTGTAATAATCAGTGAATGCAGAACAACCGCATAGATCTGCGTTTCCAACTTTTCCCACCATGATTCTACATCAAGGTAAAAAAAGATCCTTTTGTACAAATCCAAGAAGGATGGAGAGGTGGCAGCACAACTGCCAGATGGTGCAGTGACTTACTACCGAAGCTGGTGATGGGACACGGGGGCAGGAGGGGCACAGTCCTCAAGGAAAGAACCGGATATAACAAAGGTGGGCTAGTCCGTGGTTGATCGCCGGTACCAAAACCGGGCTCGGAAGTCATCACTGCACGTCATGAAGCCGGGGTTGGTGGGCGAATGCACTATGCAGCGCACGATGTTGTTGTGGCCTAGGGAGAGCAGGTTTCGGCGCTCGGCTGTGCGAGAGTCCCAGCAGCAGAGACTGATGGTCCTCTCGTCCGGCAGCAGCACGTAGTCCTCAGTGTGGTTGAACACGGCCTGCGTCCGGTGTACCTGCCGCCCGCTCAAGCCAGCACCTGCAGAGATGAGAGGTTAAGAGTCTGAATGCTGGGCCCAGCTGTCCCATTTACACTTTAGATCCTCAGACTGCTCTGCTCTGCTTAATTATCCTGTCAATGTCAAAAGAGCATTTTATTTATTTATTTTTTAAAAGATTTTATTTTATCTATTCATGACAGACACACACACACAGAGAGAGAGAGAGAGAGAGAGAGAGAGAGGCAGAGTCACAGGCAGAGGGAGAAGCAGGCCCCATGCAGGGAGCCCGATGTGGGACTTAATCCTGGGTCTCCAGGATCACACCCCAGGCTGAAGGTGGTGCCAAACCACTGGGCCATCAGGGCTGCCCTCAAGAGGGCATTTTATTTTATTTTTTCAAAAGGACATTTTAAAATTGAATACATGTCTTGTGCAATGTGGGACACTCCAAGAAGTATGCAACAGAAAAATCACCCCTGGCCTGCCACCTCAGGCAACTGTTAATGCTCAGATGTATTTCTAGGAATAAAAATATTTTAAAAAACAAAATAAACAGGGGCACCTGGGTGGCTTAGTCATTTGAGCATGTCTTCAGTTCAGGTCATGATTCTGGGGTCCTGGGATCCAGCCCTGTGTTGGGCTCCTTGCTCAGCGGGGAGCCTGCTTCTCCCGCTGCCTCTGTTGCACTCTCTCGCTCTCAAATAAGTAAATACAATGACAAAAAAAGCCCCCAAACCAAACAAACAAGCAAACAAAATTGGTGTCATATTATAGGTTTTTTCTGTCATTGTTTAAATCAACTCTTTGTTGTTCATTTCTCCATGTTTTTTTCTGGCTGCAAAATGCATCACTGTTTGGAAGCACTATTACTAGCTAACAATTGTTTCTTCTGCTAGGCATTTAGTTTGTATCTGATCACAAATAACACTGTGACAAAGTCTTTACCCAGAACACACTATATCCTCAAGATTAAATTCCTAGAACAGAATTGCTGGCAAGCATGAACATCTGCTCTCCAAAAGGAAGCTTTAGGCTTTTTATAGGACCATGAAAATACAGATTGTATGTTTAGAATACTGTATAAAGTATAAAAATAAAAACTGCCTGACAGTTTTACCCCGAGTCAGGACTTTGTTGAATACCCTTTCTCAATACCTCTGTCTGTTGTCTATCATTTGTAAAGCAGAGCATACATCGTATGCTTTTGTTCAACAGTCTGTAGTAGAGATCCATAAAGATGGAATATGGTTTATTGGATAAAAATACAGTGTTGGTGTTAGATCTGGATTTGACACTTATTAGTGATGTGAACAGAGACCAATTACACAGTTCCTTTACACCTTTTCTTTTCTATGGGGGATAATTATGGCACCTACCCACAAGATGGCTACAAGATCAGCATATGTAACACACATACAGCCTTGCAGTGGGAGTATTTATTTCTAAAGCTTGTATACCGTGAAAAGGATGAGGAACAATTTACTCAATGCTTTCTGGTGGATATTCTTTTTTTTTTTTTTTTTTGAAGATTTTATTTATTTATTCAGGAGAGCCACAGAGAGGCAGAGACATAGGCAGAGGGAGAAGCAGGCTCCCTGCAGGGAGCCCGATGTGGGACTCGATCCCGGGACCTCGGGATCATGACCTGAGCCAAAGACAGACACGCAATCACTGAGCTGCCCAGGTGCCCCTCTGGTGGATATTTCTGTTGTCTCTACCTTTCCCCTACTCCCCACAACATTGGGATAGACATTTTTCTATGTGGGCATGAGCATGTTTGCCAAGTTTTTTTAGGCTGAATTTCTAAGAGTGCACACAGTGGGTCCAGAATATAGACATACACTGAAAATCTTGATACGGGACACCAACCTGCCCTTTAGAAATATTTTACCAGTTGACACTCCTAACAATAAAATATGTAATTTCCTAAAATAGTGAGCAACACAAGGTAAAATCAATCTTTTAAATTCCTACAGTCTGATGACTACAAAAAGACACTTGCGTTTTCATTTCTTAGGTTTACAGTACCTACCGGGGGTCACCTAGCTCCCCTTGAGCTCACCCAACACTGTCTAACATGTGTCCACTTTACATGCTAGAAATGTTGTTTCCCTAGTTTAAGGTTTTAATTTTTAGTGTTTATATATGTTTATAGATACATATATATTATTTACTTATGAGGGACAGAGAGAGAGAGAGGGAGAGACATAGGTAGAGGGAGAAGCAGGCTCCTTGCAGGGAGTACAATGTGGGACTCGATCCTGGGACTTTGGGATCACGCCCTGAGCCAAAGGCAGACGCTCAACCGCTGAGCCACCCAGGCGTCCCAGAATTAATTTTTAACATTGAAATTTCTAATGCTTGATAACTTTTCTTTGTCTTTATTTCAAGAACCCTTTGAATTCTAACTAAACATTAAAACTGGAAATTCAGATCTAAACACACTAACATGGAGTCTTAACCTGTGAATTAGAAAATCAGGGAATTTGCATACAAATTCAGTATAATCTCACTTTAAAATCAAATCCCAATTCTCCATCCAAAACAAACCAATCCGTCACAGAGAAGCATGAAACATCCTAACGCTCACAAGACAAAACAAATATAATAAATCTTGTGAGAATCTAGTGTGCACCCTTCTGGATGCAGCACAGACAATGGTCGTTACTTCTGAAGATGGAGGAGGCTTTCCCACTTTTACTCTGATCATTTTTGTATCTTCTTTTTGCAATAAGCACACAGTCCTTGAACAGTAAGAATTAGATAAATTCTTCAAAATAGCTCCATACAAAAATGTTTCAAGAAAAGTTACCAAGAATTATGATAAAAATGACTCTTCCCAGGACCTGTTAGTTACACCATCTATAATGTCAGAAGCCAGGCAGATGGAAGGCAGGAATGGAACTCTGGTTACCAGGAGATAAATCTGAGGGGGTTATGCTGCACCCTAGCGGTGCAGATGTCTCAGTCTTTGCCTCTTCACTTTACTTCTCTAAGAAGCTAATTACCACCTCAGCTGAGCCCCTACAATGGTATTGCTTTCAGTGTTCTGGTTCTGGTGATTTTACTGTATGACACAAACATCTCACAACAGAGGAAACTAGCTTTAGTTTCCTGGAGGATTTTTTTTTTTTTTTAATCAACAACAGCCTTTGCAGCTCCAAGGAACATAGAATGAGATACAATATTTTAACAACACTCATTGTCAAGTGACTAGCCCAGCTACCTGCACTCTCTTAAGAATAGGCCAGGATCTTCCTCTTAGCCTTCTTTCCATATTGCATATTATTTACCAAGACGCACCAACTCAAGTTTTTCTCTAGACTGCTCTTATGTCCATGGGAAAACGGCAGACCATTGGTCTACAGATGGACCACCAGAGGCTCAAATGTTACTCACATGGAATCGGATCTAGTTTAAGCAGTAATGTATGGAGAATAAAGTTATGAAACTATTGTGATTCTATTTCCAGCTCTTCTTCTTACAAACTGCAGCCTTGGCTAAACTCCAAGTCTTGTTGTTGTTGTTTTTTTTTTTTTTTTAAATTTAAAAGAGGGAATACTATCTGCCTTGCTCAAAGTATACTTACTGTGTGGCTTTTGTGAGGATTTAAGAGTTCAGGAAACCATAAAATGCTATAGAAATGTCAAGTAATAGCAATTTCTCGCATACCTGTGTATCTGACCAGTGTTCGTCCTGTCGATATCTCCCAAAGTTTAGCTACAGAGTCTTTTCCACTGGAGAGAATGTATTTAGAATTTTTGGAGAAAATGGCAGAACAAACTTCAGCACCATCATGGGCTTTCTCAAAAGTTGTGATGCATCGGTTTGAAACACCATCCCATAACTTGATGCAGCCATCCTTGCTACCAGTTACATACATATTGGCACTAGGATTGTAATTCACGGAGCATATAGCATCGGTATGTTGATCTTGAGGGTTGCAAGAGACAAAACACTGAAACGTGTTGATATCATAAAGCCGAAGAGTAGGATGCTGAGTCCCAACAAGTATAAAGTCTCCGGAAGGATGAAAAGAGATGGAGCGTAACATCTCAGCTTCCTGTTAGGACAGAGACATCAACGTTAAGAGACCAACTAGTGAGCAATTAAATCCAGAGGAAATGTGGAAAGTATTTGGTTGATGGAAAGAATACATAAAACAATGGCCAGTCATTACACCAACGTATATGGAGGAACAATGAACTTTCCAGAGTACGTGAAAGTGTCGCCTGAACAGATTTCACAAACTATATACCAGTGACATTATTTATTCCCAAAACTGCAGAAGCAAGCTTCATTATTTGCAAATGAGCACTGGGTGAACGCAGAATGGAATATTATTAGGCTATGTAGAATATACATTCACACATGAATGAGCTACGATAGATATAACTTGTATACACAAACACCTTCTTTAATTTGTCCTAGGTCTCCAAATACTGAGTGAAAAACTAAGTTAAATCATTAAAAGGTGGAAGCCACCATCAAAACATTAGTATTTCTGAACTGCGTATTCAAGATATGGTACCAAATGTCACTTTTCCAGGATACATCTGATAGTTTCAGCTGAATAATCTGATTCCCATTAAATCATACTTTAGCGAAGTTGGTTGTCTTTAAATAGGGATCTTTAAAGAGCGATAAAGATTCTGAACCCTTGTTGCACAAATCGTGGCCAGCAAGCAGTCCTGACTGGCCAGAGGAAGTGGGCACATGACAGCATATGAACCATGTATCAGTGCAATCTGATTCCTGTGCCACCTGTGGGCAGGTATCCTTGTGAACTCATTTTAAAGCATGATCGCTGAGACTGCTTTAGAAAAAAGAATAGTCACACAGTAATAGCTCTTTGTTTTTAAGAAAACAATGTAAAACTCTTTTCCAAACATCCCTAACCTGAATGTATTTGAAGGCTCTTTTTGCTGACGGCTTGGAATAATCAAATAATTTAAGAGTATAATCCCTTGAACCAGAGGCAAGGATCTGTTCTGTTGGGTGGAAAGCGAGACATGTGACTTCATCCACGTGGTCATAAAGCGTTCGAATCACTGGGTGGTTTTCCATGTTCTGTTGTGCCGTCTCATTCATCATGACCTAGACCAATGGGAAAAGACATGCTCAAAATGTAAAATCTGTCTGACTCAAAGTATCCAACTATGCTGAGTTAACTCCAGTCTAAAGCAGTCTTTCATTCTCCCCACAAACAACAACAGGCAGAGAGTACACGTTCCCGTGATTTTTTACCTCTATTGGCATGGCACTTTTGGCCAACATTCTTTCTGTGTCGAGTATCTTTATGGAAGCATCAGCAGATCCAGTAGCTATTAACTGCCCGTCTCTACTGTAGGTAGCGACACGGCACGGTCCTTTATGGGATGTGACATAGCATGTTTCATACTCTGAAGCCTCTGGGGACATAGTTTGGACATCGGCATCAAATTCCAGGTCAATTCCTGTGCCTGGGGCAACGGTATCTGAACGACCAATTGCATACTGAACTGCAGTATCATCATTTTCCATTCCTGAGGGAATAAAAATTAAGTGCATGAAAAAAATGTTATTTTAAAAAGCCAAGACAAAATTCTGGATCCGAACTGGGAAGGAGGGACGCCTGGGTGGCTCAGCGGTTGAGCGTCTGTCTGCCATCAGCTCAGGGTGTGATCCCCGGGTTGACCGAGTCCTGCATCAGGCTCCCTCTCTGGAGCTTGCTTCTCCCTCTGCCTAGGTCTCTGCCTCTCTCGTCTTTCATGAATAAATATCTTAAAAAAATAAAAACAGAAAAAACTGGGAAGGATGTTTGCCAATATCAACTTTCTCTTTCTTGGAGCTGCCTGACACTTAGCAATTCACAAAATTACGTGTATCGAGCTGGAAGCATGCACTGTGACACTGTAGGAGAGTCAGCTCCCTTGATTTTTGTCTCCAAAATTTTCTACTTTAATCACAACTACATAAACTTAAAAGAAGCAGTTCTGTAGTTAAGTTGTCCAGTTTTTTCCATTCTGTATTTTAGTATGTTTTAGTGCTGAGATCTGTTAGTAGCAGCTTTGAAGCCCATTAAGTCAGATACATTGTTAATATCAATACTAGTGAAACATACTTGAAAGAATGTTGATATTTAAATAAAGTTTCTCAAGTAAATGCCTTTTAGGTTTAAAAATAACTTCACATACCAGGTAAACAGTATGTTTATTAGTATAAAAAACTAGGAATACAGATGAACACAAAATAATGACTTCCCATTAGATTATCCAGAGATGATTACTGCGAACATGGAGGAAAGAATTCTTCTGGACCTTTTTCCATGCACAGTTGTTACAATTCTTAAAACAAAAATAGAACCACACCATACTGATATGTTGTAACTTACTGGTTCATTTACTCAGTCAGAACAAACACCTGGCCAGTGTAATGTTTACATACATCATGTTGTTGGACCCAATTTGATAGATACAAGAACATTAACAACAGATTCCTTATTGTTGGGTACTTCAGTTGCATTCATTTTATTTCCTCAAATTTGAGCACAAATTCTCAAAATTGGCATTACTAAGTCAAAGCGTAGAATAGAAACATGTTGGCAATTCTTATTTTATTGAGTGTTTTCTACAACCCAGGCAAGCACCAGGATATATTGTTGAACAAGACAAGATCTTGATCTTTATTGAGCTTGCTGTCTTTTTGGGGGAGGTGCAGACTGTGTGGGAAACAACTTCATACAATGAAGAAAATTTTAGATCATGAGTCTTCCTTCTATGAAGGAAACGGCACTGTTGTTTTAGAATACCTGGGTAAGTATGGGGAAGATAGTGGGTTATTTTAGAAAAGGTGAAGAGGACTCTAAAATGCCATTTGAGCCGAAATCTGAAGTCAATAATACAATGAAAGAACAGTTCAGACAATTCTCATAAACAGCCTGAGGCCAGAGCCAGCTCAAAATCTTCATAATCTGGGGTTTGCTTCCTCCTTCAGTATCTAGCATTGTACTTGACACTTACTAGGCATTAAAACTAAACAAAAATCATCTTGAAAAATTCTGATTGTGAAAACATCTGGAACCTTGCCATGGAATCAATGAATCTGCATTCAAAACTACCTAGTTTGATGAGATGTAGGAGCTGCTCCGAGGGTGCACAAACAGACTGAGGCTTGATTTCATTGATGAGGCCATTAGCAATGCTGATGTAGCCATCATACAGCAGCTGGCTAATGATCAGCTTGTAGAGCTGCTGGCGATCCTTCAAGCCCACTTTGGTTCTGTACATCTTGGAAAAGAGGAAGACAATTTCCTTGCCACCTGCAAGATGAGAAAACAGGGATGGTGAACGGCAGAGGCACTAGTAAGTCACAGAGGCAACACAACAATCTGGTCAGACTCGTGGGGTGTAAATCCCAGCTCTACTACTTGCATTATCTTTGGTCAGTGACCTTCTTCATTTGAGATCAGCTGTTAAGCAAGTTAGCCAAGGTCGAATAAGACGATGAGTGCAGGGCACTGAGCACTGTGGCACACAAATATCATTCACATCGTGTTAGTATTTACAGAACTTCTCATCAACTTTTCTTCTCTGTCAAACAACTCACCTGCCATTTTTATTCTATATTACTATCTCAGAATGTTCTATTTCTCGTATAAGACAACAACTGGTTTTTGCAATAGGTAAGACAGCTGCTATTGTTGAATAATTAGACATTACTGTTTCCATCAGCTGAGCTGTATGTTTACTGATGTCAGTTACGTTCATTCTTTAAATGTGGTTTTAAGGTAATTTGTTAAATTACATAATTTGATAGTAAATAACAACACGAGGGCGCAAAAGCCACTATGCTATGAAAACTAAATCAAGTTGAGTGCTTTGGAAAGATTCGAAGATGAATTGCTTAATAAAATGGTGGCAAGTTAAGATATGGCCAAAACAATAATTAAAAAATGGAAAAAAAAAAGGGGGGGGTGTGAAAATCTCAAAGACTGTGTCCTTAGATCGGTTCTCAAGTGCTTAAGTTCTCTCTTAGACAGTAAAATGAAACCTGTAGATGATGGTTCCTGGTCTATGCAAAAAAATAACTCCAATTGGTGGATAGGATGGGATAATGTGACTTTCAAAAATCAATGTTTGGGGCAGCCCTGGTAGTTCAGCGGTTTAACGCCACCTTCAGCCCAGGGCCTGATCATGGAGACCCTGGATCGAGTCCCACGTCAGGCTCCCTGCATGGAGCCTCCTTCTCCCTCTGCCTGTGTCTCTGCCTCTCTCTCTCTAGGTGTGTGTCTCTCATGAATAAATAAAATCTTAAAAAAAAAATCAATGTCTGTATATATACACGTATGTTTGGAAGACCACAGGAGCCTGGGGAACAGTAATAAAGAAAAGAAATAGCAGGCAGGCAGACGAGAAACTGAAAGTCAGAGTATGGGGAGAGAGGAATACCAGAAAAGAGAGGAGCGAGCAGTAACAGCAGCACTGCCTGGATTGCTGTACTTTACAGGGAAAGATTCTGGGAGGGGGGAGGACGATAGGAAAGGGGTGGGGAACCATGTGTTCTAACCCCCTCCGGAGAGGAACTGAAGCTACTGACTGTAAGAAGAGCCAACATTCACTGAGTGTTCAGCATGTTTTATCTCACTTAGTCCTCAAACCACCCTGCAGGCAAGGCCCTGCAATCTGGTTTACAGAGAAGGGAAAATCACTTTCCAAGGTCCCAGCAGTGCCTGGAGAAACCAGGGCTGCCATGCGGACTGTGCTGTCCCTGAGGACTACCTGGATCTGCCCCTTGAAAACCCCGTGACAAACCAGCTAGACTTCCGGGGACCTTCGGCGCAGCGTGGTGACACACGCCGCCTAAGCAGCTAACCTGCATCACCCCATTTGATTCTCATCCATCCTATCTAGAGACAGGCAACCTCAAAAGCCCGGAGAGGTTGATTTAATTACTTGACCCAGGCCCAAGGAGCTTGTCGACGGCACAGCCTGCGTGCTCAGGCGGGCTCTCGCTCGGGCCCCGGAGCTGGAGTCCTGACTGCGCCGCGCCGCGCCGCCGGGTGTCAACGACAGCAGCTAACGTCTACGAAGCGCTCGCCGGACTCCGGGCCAAGCACTCGACAAACCTTAGCTCGCTGATCGAAGTCACCCAAAGTGTACTGAAGCACGTGCAGGAGCAGCTGTACGTACATCTATGCTTGCGTAGAACTCCAGGACACACACACACACACACACACACACAGAGGAGAGAGAGGAGAGGCAGAGACCGAGGTTTAGGAAACTGGAAATAAAATATGCGGCGGAGCGACTCGTCGGGGGGCCGCCAGGACGGCCCGCGGCTGAGCCCGGAACTCATCCACGATCCTCTCCCGTCTCTGCACGCGTGCCGGGAGCATCGCGGGCTGTAAGGGAGATGGAGACAGAGAACCAGGGACGGGCCCCGCCTCCCAGGCCTCCCAGGAGGTGCGCTCGCTGCGCTAGGAAGGGCCTCATCACCCCCCCACTCCCCCCAGGTGCAAGCGAGGACGCCGAGGCCCGAGCAACCGTCCACACGGAGCTGCACGGGGGCCCGGGCGGGAAGGCACACGCCACCATCCCGCCGCAGGAGCGAACGAAGGCCGGGGCGACCGCGGGAAGCGCAGGCGCTGTGCAGGCCCAGCCTGGCCGCTCAGGGCGCAGGCCAGCCACCCCGCCCGCCATCGGGCCTTCCCGCCGCGCTCGTCTTCCCTGTGCTCCCGTAACGACCCCAGCGGACCGCACCAGCCGTTCTCCGTGCATCCCACGCCCCCAATACCCGCTAGTCCGGCTCTCTCGGGCTCCCGCTTTCTCCCCAGAAAAATGGAGGCGCCAATTCTGCACCATCGATCGCTCGGAGCGCAGGAGCGCACGCTCACTGCGCACGCGCGCTAGGGCGATGCGCCGAGCGCTGCGCTGTCGATCGCCCCCCCCACCCCACCCCGCCCCAACACGCCCCGCCACTCCCTCCTGCCCTTCTCGCCATCTTACTTACTGGCGCGTTCGAGTGGTTCGTTAACCTCCTCCGACTTTGCCTCTTGCGCGGCGACGCTGGTTGACGCTAAGGAAGTGCTGTCTGGCCGACAGGCCCCGGATTCCGGAGAGCACCACGGGCGCTAGAACTGCCAAAGTCTGGCGGGCCGTTGGCTCCGCCACTTCCGGGGCCTTACCGGGGAGGGAGGGGCGAGGGGGGGCAGTGCGCCTGCGCGCTGTCACCGCCTTGGACGTAATCACGGCGTCCGGTGGGCTGTGAACCAATCAAAAGGCAGCACCTCTCGAGCTCCGGCCAATCAGCTTCCAGGGCAGAGGGTTTAACTCTTATTTAAAATGAAGACTTTGAATCTTAACGGCTGAGCGCTCCGGAGGACTCGGCGGCTTGGGTCGGAGGCTGGAGCCGGCGGGTTGGTAGACGGCGGGGCGGCTCTGGGAGGCGAGCGGGCGAGCGGGCGAGGGCGGCGGGGCCTGGGTGGCCTCTGAGCGGGCGGCGGCGCTGCTGGCGGGGACGAGCGGAGGCGAGGCCTGCCCTGCCCGGGTGCGCGGCCCCCTCCGCGGTCCCCTCCGCCCTCCTCGGGCTTCCTCTCCCACCTGCATCCCCCCCACCCCTCTCCTCCGGCCCCTCGTGCTTTCCCGGCGCCCTCCCGTCTGCTCCCGGGCCGCGGGGCGCCCCGTGGGATAGCGCCTGGTGTGTGCCGAACACGGGGTGTTGGGCGGCATCTATTGGGGCTCGGGGTGCATTGATTGATTGATTGATTGGAGCTCAATTTGCCGAGCTGAGGCGCTTCCTAATGGCATTCTCGTGTTCGGGGAGCCCCTGGGTGAGAAGACCTGGGAGGGCGTTTGCTCCCCTAGAGTCTGCGTGCTCGTGGGGGTGGGGCGCCAGGCGCGGAGCGGGGGCCCGAGAACTCGCAACACAAACACACATACCGACCCGCTCGACGATAGTGTGGCTTCCGCGGGGGCTGCTTTGGTTACAGCAGCCACGAAGGACCCTCCTTGGTGGATGGGTAAACGGAAGCTCCCGCAGAGAGGCTTTCTCTCTTTTGGCCTGTGCTTCTCCAACCGCAGACCCCGGGCCGCCTTTATGGGGCCTTTTCCGAGGGTCCTTGTTAAAAATGCGGGACACCCCCCCCCCCCCACCTCGTGAACCAGAAGCGCTTGGGCACAGGGGCTCAGGCATCTGTAGTTTTTCGGGTTTTCCAGATGCTTCTCTTGATGGTTTGTGGGGATCCAGTGATCTAGACCAGCGCCCACGAGTCGTCTGGGGAAGTTAAAATGCAGAATCCGATTTGTTGGGTCTACGGTCAAGCTCGAAAGTCTCCATTTCTTACTTTATTATTATTATTTTTTAAAGATTTTATTTGTTTATTCATGATAGAGAAACACACATACACAGAGACACAGGCAGGGGGAGAAGCAGGCTCCATGCAGAGAGCCTGACGCAGGACTCGATCCCGGGACCCCGGGGTCACGCCCTGGGCCGAAGGCAGGCACTGAACCGCTGAGCCACCCAGGGATCCCTGAAAGTCTCCATTTCTAACACTGTGTCCTCCAGATGTAGATGGAGCTACTGCTCCTGATCTGTAGGCTCCATCTTCTCCTTAATCTTCCTTGTTCTCTGAATGAAATACTTGTCAGCAACATACTCATTGCCACTCTCCTCTGAGTCCATGCAGACAATAAGCAGTTTTGATGGAGAAAAAGTGTAAATGTGCAGAGGTATACAATCTTAGCACATCTCCTGTTCAGAGTAGTAGGACATGTGGTTTGAGCCGCAGGGATCTTGTGAGGGTCATGGGGTCATGGGACTCCTGAGTCTGGCTGTGGACTGGAATCACTAGAAAGGCAGTTTTCCTGGGGCTCTCTCCAGAATCTCTGGATCAGAATCATCTTATTTCATTCTGTTTATTATTATTCATCTCCCTGAGAAGGAAAAGTATATTCAGTTGGAACAAGTATCTAGCTTCTGTTGAAGACGATTGAATAAATGTTAGGCCTGTGTGATCTCATTGGTCTGCTGCCTGTGATCGTTGGGGAAAGTGAAGAAAGCCTTAGAGCGTGTGTGAAATTAATGTTTCCATAACACGAGCTTATAACTCCTTTCTCCTTCCTGTTCTCCTAACCTGCTGTTGGACATAAGGACTCCTCTCTCTTTAGCTGTGGTTCCATCTTCAAGGTGAAGTTTTTTGCTTATTTGTGAAGTGGATGTGAAAGCGTGGGGATGGGAGGCACTTTCTGATTGGATTCTAGAATTCGGAGAGCACCTGGGTAGGAAAAATACAGAAAGGTTTCTGCTTTCTTGGAGCTTATGTTCTTCTAATTTACTAGACTGTGCCTGACTCACAGTATGGGCTTAGCAAGTGTTAACTATTTTCATTATTAATATGCTTTCTTAACGGATTAACTCATTCCCCAAACATTGGTGTAAATACTATGTGCTAGACAAGTTCTGGCGGGGGGCAACAGTAAACAAAATGAGTCTAAGCCCTTGCTCTCATGGAGCTTACTTTCCTTGGAGATACTGATTAGGGAGCTGGGAGGCAGAAGTAAGTGAGTACAAGTAACGTCATGTAAGGTGTTAAGTAAGGGCTATGCAGAAAAATAAAAACGAGATGGTTAGAGAGCCATCTGAGGAGAGACCTGAATGTCATGGGGAGCAAGCCACACTTGTATTTGAGAGAAGTGCCAAATGGGTAGAGAGAACAGGAAGTACAAAGGCCCTGAGGCAGTGCATTGCTTTGAGGAAAGAAAGAAGCCCTGTATGGCTGGTGTGCAGAAGGCAAGAGGAGATCAGTCCATAAGGTGGTGAGAGACTGTAGGTCTGTCTGTGTAAGTTGAATTTGAATTGGAGTTGAGGGACCAGGATGGGCTTGGCTTGTGAACCAAGGGCCGGCCTAGCTGACTTGTTAATGGGATCACTGGGTGCAGTGTTGCAAATGGACCATCATGGGGTAAGGGTGGAAGCAGAGTGACCATTGGGAGCCTGTGGCAAAGAAATGAGGGGAGAGAGCATTGATTTAGTCAGGTGGTGGTATTAAATGTCTTGAGCAGTGATTTTGAAGGTAGAGCCTACAAAATAATGCTGATGGATTAGGTATGGGGTTTGAGGGAGAATCATGTAAAAGATCAGTTGACCCAAGCAACTGGCAAGATGGGTTTGCCAGTAACTGAGATGGGGACATCTGTGAAAACGGGTTTGGGGAGTATAGGGTAGGGAGGGAGCAGGAATTTCATTTGAGACATTTTAAACTTGAGATGCCTCTCTGGTTACAGGTGGTGATGTTTCATAGGTGATAGAAGTTCAGGGGAGAAGTCTGGGCTGAAGATGGAAGTTTGGAGGTCCTCAGCCTGTGAGTGGTATTGAGAGCCAGGAGACTGGATGAGTTTAATAGGGAATGACTATAGCAGTAGAAGTGTTTCTAGGCCTGAGTTCAGGCTGCTCCTGAGAGCAGAGGGGAAGAGAAGCCGGCAGGAGAGAAGAGCTGTCTGGATGTGGGGGATAATGAGCAGGAGGTAGGTAATAGTCTGGTAGTCAGGACAGGTTAGGGTAGAAGATGTAAATTCAAGTCATCTTAAAGATGTTTAGAGCCCTGGTTCTGGATGGGGGACCCTAGGAAGGGAATGGATGGAGAAGTGGGGTCCAAGGACTCATTCGTGGGTTACCCTAGACTCTCAGGTTGGCAAAAGTCAGACTGATCGAGCAAAGGAGGTCACAGCAGGACAGCTGGTAAGGTCAGGGACCACCCTCCAAGCCAGCGGAGGCTGGGAGTAGAAAAAAGAGTGACGCTGTCAAATGCTGCTGGGGACACCAGGGAGCCCAGGGTGCTGATTGGACCTTTGAATTTGCTAACATTAGAGGTCGGTCATGAGCTGGCTCCTCCGTAGGGACAAAATCCTGATGGGGGAGGGCAAGAGCCAGAGAAATGGTGGATGCAGGGAGTGTAATGACTGTTCTGGAGCTTTGCTGTTGAAGAGTGAGAGGAGAGATGCTGTTGTATCTAGAGTCTGTTATGGGGAAGAGAGAAGCTGCTTTTTTTTAAAAGGGAGCAGGGCTGGAAGCAGGATCCTGCACTGTTGGAATTAATCCCCTAGAGAGGGGGTGGTGGAGCAGGTGGTCTCAGGGAGTGAAGTTGGGGGGTGAGGGAGGCCCCATACCTGTCCCTTAGGTTACCTGAGAAAGCAAGGCTCCCCTGCCAGCTTCATTTGGACAAAGAAAAAGTGTGAAATTCTGTGTTGTTGAGGCTTTTTCATCAGGAGCTATAACCCTGATCTAGCATAGTAGCACTTTGAAGCACAGGGATTTGTATAAATTAAAGGTGGTTCTTTTCTTTTCAGGCATTATGGACAAATCTAAAGAAAACTGCATTGCAGGGCCTGTTAAGGTAAGTTGAATAATCTTAATTTTTTTTTTTTAAAGATTTTATTCATGAGAAACACAGGCAGAGAGGCAGAGACAAAGGCGGAGGGAGAAGCAGGCTCCATGCAGGGAGCCTGGTGTGGGACTTGATCCTAGAACTCCAGGATCATGCCCTGAGCCAAGGGCAGATGCACAACTGCTGAGTCATCTAGGCGTCCCAATCTGTAATCTTGATCACATTTATAAAACCCAGTGGAGATTGGTTTTTATATCTGGACTTCGTTTTACCTTTACTTTGGATTTTAACTTCAGAACTCTACTACATTCCTGGATGTCTGTCACTTTTTCTCGGCATTCAGTGACATTTTGTTGATTGTCACTGTAACTATTATTTTGTTCTGCTTTGTCTTCTAGCTAGCTGTTTAAGTATCTATATTCCTCCATTGTGTGCAGGATAATGTACACAATGGGTGCCTAATAACTTGCTTGTGCTTACTTGCTTGCCAGAAGTTAAATTGCTTTGTAATAGTCTGTTCTGGTCATGATTCAGAGGGCTGTCAAGCTGCATTTTAGTGAACATTTCTTGGGAACTCACTTTGAGTCAGGTTCTGTGTCAGATGCAGGGGTTACAATGATAGAAAAGCACATGGTCTTTGACTTCCAAGAGCTTATTAGATCTTTGGTGGGTTATGTGAGCTGGTATCACACTTTCATAAAATATGTGTATATGAAATGACCTGAGTAATTCTGCAGAGGGATGTTCAGATTGGGATAGGTTGGAATCTAGAAAGGCTTCATCAAGGAAGGACCTCTGGCTCTTAGAATTTAAATGAGTCTTTATATAAAGATCCTTTAATATAAATATTCCCCAGATCTTTTTTCCTTCTAGGAAAAGAGCATAAACATACAAATCTTGTTTCTTGGTTTGTATGTATGTGTTGTTTTTAGAAGTTTTCCTTTACTTTTTTTTTTTTTTAAGATTTTATTTATTTATTCATGAGAGACACAGAGAGAAGCAGAGACACAGGCAGAGGGAGAAGCAGGCTCAGGCTCCTTGCAGGGAACCTGATGTGGGACTTGATCCCAGGACCCCAGGATCATGACCTGAGCCAAAGGCAGATGCTCAACCACTAAGCCACCCAGGCATCCCTAAAAGTTTTCCTTTTCTTATTTTTTTTTGTTTGTTTGAGAGAGCATGCATGAGTGGGGTGTGTGTGTGGAGGGGGGGCGGCTGTGGCAGAGGGAGAGGGAGAGAATGTTAAGGAGGTTCTACACTCGGTGCTGAGCCTGACCTTGGGCTCTATCTCACGACCCCAGCCAAAACCATGAGTCAGATGTCCAACCTACGGAGCCACCCAGGCTCCCCTATTTTTGACTTTTTCAGGAGCCTCCATACTGCTTCACCTGCACTAGTTTGTATTCCCACCAGTAGTGTGCAAGAGTTCCTTTTCCCCCAAGTCTTTTTTTTTTTTTTTAATTTTTTTTTTATTTATTTATGATAGAGAGAGAGAGAGAGGCAGAGACACAGGCAGAGGGAGAAGCAGGCTCCATGCACCGGGAGCCCGACGTGGGATTCGATCCCGGGTCTTCAGGATCGCGCCCTGGGCCAAAGGCAGGCGCCAAACCGCTGTGCCACCCAGGGATCCCCTCCCCCAAGTCTTCATCAACAACTTGTTCCTTGTGTTTTTGGTGTTAGCCATTCTGATAGGTGTGAGAAGTTTTTCAAGTAAATGGATACTTAACTTTTTTTTTTTTTACTGGCTAAAAGTCTAAAATAACCAATTAGAAAAAGGCTAACTTGAGTCGTATCTGATTCTCAATTCCTATGATAAAGATCATTTTTAAAAGCTGCTCTGTTTAAAACATTTGTCGCTGCCTGTGGATGTCACTAATTTCAGAAGTAACTGACTTTTACTTGGAAGTTGGATACCTGTCTCTTGTGAAGCACCCATACCTAGTGAGCTTGTGATGAACTCTTGAGTCTTCGCTTCCTAGCATTGTTTCCGTGTTTATGAGGAGATTTCCTCCATTGTAGTTGGAGGAAGTCCTCTACCCCATTTTAGTTTGACTGGTTCAAGGTCTTAGAATTAACTTTTTTCTTAAGCTTGTGATCCTCCACTTATTGGCATGTAAATAATGCATTTTGACCTAATTTTTTGAAGATCCTGTTTGTTTCTTCTTTGCCATAGTTCTTTTGGCTCAGATCCATTTTGTAAATACTTGGACAATGAAACATTAGTAAATAATAGAAGTATTTTGTGGAAAATCTGGCAAATGCAAAAATTCAGTCTTCTAAAACATCTTGACTCAGATAACCACTGTTAAATATTTCGACATATTTGTCTTTTTTCTAAACATGTATGGTACTGCCAAATAAATTTCAATGGAATTGGGATTTTGTTATAAAATTTTGGTATTGTCGCTTTTTGCCAAGTAGTAATTCCCAAGTCATTGAGAATTCTTAGAAAGTGTTTAATGTCTCTCTCTTTAGATGGAAGTTTAGTTAATGTTTATGGGGGCATGGTTTTTTTGAGGTGGGTGGGAGGTATCATTCAGGTATTCCTTTCAGCTGTAGATTAACCATATCCTCTGGGAGTGCTGATGAAAATAGCTTTCCCCTTCCATGGATTATCATGGAATATGTATTTTGCTATACTAGGAAAACAGACTTTGTGGAATTCTCAAAACACTCAGCTTTTGTTTACGAAGACATGAAATTTGTTTTTCCCTCCCAATCTAGACTGCAATTGCACTTGGTGATGGTCCAAAACGTGTTCTGGTGACTCAGCAAGTTCCTTCACAGAATCCATTATCTGCAAATAGTGGCCAGGCCCAGCGGGTCTTGTGTCCTTCAAATTCTTCCCAGCGAGTTCCTCCACAAACCCAAAAGCTCGTCTCCAGCCATAAACCGGCTCAGAATCTGAAGCAGAAGCAATTGCAGGCAACTGGTGTCCCTCGTCCTGCCTCTAGGTCACTGAATAATACCCAAAAGAGTGAGCAACCCTCGTCATCAGCCCCTGGTAAATCAACTTCTTGAGACTAATACCGGATAGTTATTCCTTCTAGTTGCAAGCAAGCGGATAGACTTGGATTTATTGTTTGGAGCCCTTGTTTCTACATCCTTTTTATTAAGGATGGGGAGAAAGTGTGATTTCAGGTTGAAGTAGCAGTGTCTCCTGTGGGCCAGCCCTGGGCCCAGGATGGAGAGCTGATTCCTACCTTCGTGGTATGCTTGTGGGGCATAGTGAAAAGCTCCAGGGTTGGGAGTGTGGAGGGCAGCCGGGAAAGTGGATGGACATGGGTAAACTGAGGCTGGCCGGGTGAGGTCACAGTGGGCCCTCTGGCTGTGTCGTGGAGTGGGGCTTTCATCCCCTGTACATGGGGAAATTTCTGAAAGGTTTTTGAGGAGAGGAGGAGCTGGCCTTTATGAAAGAGGCTTCCTCTGGATGTGTGGAATGAAGTGGTGAGTAGTAATGCTGCATCTTGGGGTAGTAGGCAGGAGGAAGGCTGTTGGGGGTAGGTCAAAGATGGCCACGGCCTGAACTGGGTGGAGCGGGGTACATATTAATAGTTACTTACAGTTTTCCATGCTCACGCTCAGGAGACCAGCTTCCTTCATCCATGTTGCCTCATTCTATTCTCAGGACCACAGTGAAGGTAGTCTGTCATTAACTCTGTTTACAGAGGAGGAAGCAGAGACTCAGAAGCATTAAGTTCCCCTCAGATAGGCCAGGATGGACAAGTGAAGACGAATTCAAGTGCTCACTGAAGATGAAGACTGGATAGAACTGGACAGTAAACTGGACTTAGGGATGGTGGTCCTATTAATGGCATTAATGGAAGTAGTGAAACATAGAGGGAGAAAACCAGTTAGGGCCCACATTCAGGTATCTGAGCACAGTGTACCCTGCTGCTGCTGGAATTTGAAGTGGAAATGTCCTATATAGCCTCTGGCTAATGAACACCCTGTTGTGCAGTTGGTTTATTGTACATTTTACTGACTCGGTGGCTTCTATTTTTATATTTCCCCTTGGCGACTAATCTAGTGGAAGGAAGGTAGTTGGTCTATGTTTTGTTGCACATTGTTGGTAACTTGCACATAGCAGATGGACATGGGCTCGCTCACCTAGTGGGGGGAAAGATGATGAGTGGGAGCTTATGGATGGAGAGATTGGAAATTCTGCCTTACAAGCTCTTCATTTGGAAACAGAAGCTTCAGGGAGAATCTGCACAGTCTTTGAGTCTTTAAATTATCAGATGGCCTAGCTGTATATGTATCTGCTTGTCTTTACTCTGGAAATCTATAAAGACTTCAGCTGGTTGGAGTCGGGTTAGGGTATGGTGTTCTTTTCTCTACAAAGAAAACTAAAAATAGCCCAGATCTACCATTCTGGAGACACCATTAATATTTTAGTGGCCCTTCTTTGATTCATTTCTGTTCATAGGTTTTTAACTTATTCTGTATAGTTATTCTGAAATAATTACAGCTGTTCTAAAAACAGGTTTTTTAACTTCTGTATAGGAAATAATTCTGAAAAGGAACTGGCATCAAAACAGAAAAATGAAGAATCAAAAAAGTAAGCTTTATCTTACTTACAAAGTCCTGTGTTATCATCCTATTAGAATACACCACTGCAAGTTTAATTATGGGAACTTATTAAAAAAGAGGTTTTTATATTTTCACTTAGAAAATGTAAATGTTTACAAATTCTAACCTTTAAAAAAAGTATTTTAATGGTGTTTACTAGGGACTCAAGCTTTTCTGACTGCTTTCCAAGTTTAGAAAAACTTGTATGAATCTGTTACAGAAATGTGTAAAATAAGCTCTTCTCTACCCTCAGACGTAACCACTACATACAGCTTGGGTATGTTTCTCTACCTAGTTCAAATCTTATACAGAAGTGCAAGTTTGTTATCAAAAGGCAGTCCTGTTACAAACCTAGACACATGTATATATGACTATGGATATTTTAACAGTATCAATTATTCTTTATAATATATTCCCCAGATATTTTCTAAAAGTCTGCTCTTAATTTCTGAACTGCCTAGACTCTAGAATGTAGAATGTAATGTCTAGAATGTAGCAGGAGGAGCCAGGAATGAACCCACATGCTGTTTTGCTTTAGCTGTCTTTCATAGTAGCTTTCTGAGAATCTAAATCCAGTGGTTCTCGCCCCCCACCTGCCCTGTAGGATCTACCCCCATTGCTTTAGCAGAGTGATTCTCCACTCCAGAGAGTTAGCATGTCTGGGATGGAGGAAGAGGCTGTGGCTCCTTTGCAAGAGGCCCACAGAAGTTCTTAAGACTTCTCCCTCGAATTACTTCCCTAACCTTTCCTGTGGTCTTCAGTGGTGATGGTGATAGGTCTGTAATTCAGAGTGCAGTACTGCCTTAGGACACTTAGCATTAGTGCTTCAGCTCTGAAAGTCCAGATCGTACCTGGTCACTGACTCATACAGTTATCGGCAGGTGGAGGAGTGGAGGGTTTAATGTCTTTGGAGATACATATAGTAGTTAATGGCTTGGTTCTTGCCAAGGTACATATTGAATACAACTTCAAATATAAAATTACTTATAGACATATCTACAACTTAATAATAAATTGTTAGAAAAAATTTGCTTTTCCAACATTTTAAAATGTTCAAATTTTTTTCCTAGAAGGCAATGGGCTTTGGAAGATTTTGAAATTGGTCGCCCACTGGGTAAAGGAAAGTTTGGTAATGTTTACTTGGCAAGGGAAAAACAAAGCAAGTTTATCCTGGCTATTAAAGTATTATTTAAAGCTCAACTAGAGAAAGCAGGAGTTGAACATCAGCTGAGAAGAGAAGTAGAAATACAGTCCCACCTTAGGTAAGTTTCCAGATTGACGTTCAAAAGAATGTGGTGCAGAACTTAGTTACTAAGAGTTAAACGATGCAAGGCCTGCTCTGTAGTATTGTAAAGAATGATTTAATTCACCATTTTTAAAAAGATTTATCTAGATGAGTGCTGTGGTCCTGAAAAGTCCCTTGGAGGTTTATGCTTTGTTAATGAAATATGTACATTAGCCCAGTTTGTGTGTGTGTGCGTGCACATGTATGTGCATGCATGTGCGCACATGTGCACGCATAATTAAGGGGAATGACACTTCTGAGTTCTAAGCAGAGGTTGCAGACTGGCAGCCTCTGCAGGTTGACTTTAGCCAGTGGGTCTATTTCTTCCATCCTTCCCATCTTCCTCCCTCTCCCCTCCTCTCCCTCCCTCCCCTCCCTCCCCTCCTCCCCTCCCTCCCCACCCCTCCCTCCCTCCCCTCCCCTCCCTCCCCTCCCTCCCCTCCCTCCCCTCCCCTCCCTCCCCTCCCTCCCCTCCTCCCCTCCCCTCCCCTCCCTCCCTCCCTCCCTTCCCTTCCCTTCCTTCCCTTCCCTTCCCTTCCTTCCTTCCCTTCCTTCCTTCCCTTCCCTCTCTTTCTCTCTTTCTTTCTTGTTTTTTTCAGATTTGAATCAGTCATAAATACTTACAGACCTGTCTGCATCAGGTTTATATCCTTCCCTGGCAACAGCTGGTGGGAGCTGAAGGGCTGCTGTGCTGGCTGTGTTCTCAGCTGCGTGAAGTTCTTGGCGGCCCACCTTTCCCACTGTTGCTGAACCCTGCTTTAAAGTTGTGTCTCCTAGTGTTTGGTGATCATACTGCTATGGGAATGTCATGCTTCTCTTTATCTAATGTTCAGAGAACTAACATTTAGCTGAATTTTTCCCCCTAAGAATAAAGATGGTCTAAGGGAAGGAAATAGTCTTAACCAAACCTGAGGTTCATTAATACTCTGCACTAACGTGCAGATGTATTTAAGTTTTCCTAGTAGGTCTGGAGTTTCAGATGCTCAAGTTGGGTGGGTGGATGTGGTGGTGGGGAGGTCTGTGACCAGAACCAGTTTTCACTAGTTTTACATGAGGGGTTTGATCGGTAGTACATCTTGTATTTTCTCCAAAACCAAGTATTAGAATATTGATCCTTTGTTGCAGGCATCCAAATATTCTTAGGCTGTATGGTTATTTCCATGATGCCACCAGAGTTTACCTAATTCTAGAATATGCACCTCTTGGAGCTGTCTACAGAGAACTTCAGAAACTGTCAAAGTTTGATGAGCAGAGAACTGCTACTGTAAGTTTTCATTTATTGTCCTGGCTAATTCTGTTTCCTCTATTCCTGTCCTATGTAGCAGTGTGCCTTTCATCATAGTCTAGTGGGTTTTGTCTTAAGAAAGACAGCTTAATGGGATCAGGTATTTGAATGAAAGACTCAGAATACCCTACTGCTAGCATACGTCCAGGTAAACTCAGGTACCAGGTGGGTTTGTTTCCACAGCTGTTTTCTGTGGAAATGTATATATATGAATAGTTGCCTTCTTTATTCTAAAATAAACTTTTGTTTTGTTTTGTTTTGGATTTAGAGAATCTGAAGATAGTGCAGATGTTTTTTCTCCTGTTCCTTGTCCATTAATGTGGTCCCTCCTATTAATGGCTTGTCAGTGGGGGTGTTGGCCTTGGTCACCTGGCTGAGGTCACTCCTGTTAGGTTTCTCCACTGGGAAGTTACCCTTTCTCTCTTTCCATACTGCCCTCTTCTCAAGTGTATTGCTCTGTACTGCCCATCCTGAAGGAGGAGTGGGGGCTATGTCCCACCTCTGCCTCTGTCTGCATCATCATTTAGAATTCTGCATCAGAGATTTGTCTGTTCTCCCTTATTTACTCAGTCGTTTATTACTGTGGACTCATGGATAGTTTGTTTTGAGTTATAATCTAATACTACTTTATTTTCCTGCTCAAATTGTTCCAACTTTGGTCCTTGGGATCCCTTTCACATGGTCCTTGTTTTAGTGTTTTTTTTTTTGTTTTTGTTTTTTTTTAGATTTATTAGAGCATACAGGCAGGGGGAGGGCCTGAGGGAGAGGGAGAAGCAGGCTTCCCACTGAGCAGGAAGCCTGGTGCCATGTGGGGCTCCATCCTAGGACCCTGAGATCATGACCTGAGCTGAATGCAGACACTTAAATGAGCCACCCAGGCACACTGTTTTAGTTTTTATGACCTATCTCATCACTGGGGGCGTGTGGTGTGTACTGCAGCATGTCCTTGCATCTGGCCCTACAAGCTGCTAAACCTTTGATTTGCATATATCCCATCCCAGTTTTAGAACCTGCCATGTCTCCAAGGAGCCCTGGTATCTTTTATTGGAATACTAGAGACCAAGATTTGGGTGTTCTGTATGCTCATTGCTTATCTGTAGCCTCCCATTCCAACCTTGAAACACCTAGATTCTGCATCTACCAACCATTTAATTATTCAGTTCCAGTGTACATGTGTAGTGGTATTAGAATGACCCCTGTGGGGGAACAACTATGCATTTAAGGATCATCTGTATCATTTCAGGGTGTGAGCATGGCAGCTCGTTTTTTATCGCTGAATAATATTCTGCAGCATAGATATAGTTCAGTTTATCCCTTCATCTATTGAATACATCTTGCTTGCTTCCAGTTATTGGTGATTATGAATAAAGCTGCTTTAAACATGCATGCATGTTTTTGTGGGACATAAGTTTTCAATAGCTTTGAAAACTAGCTTGTGTGGTGTAGTAGCTTTGTAAGAAACTGTACACTGTCTTTCCAAAGTAGATGTGTCATCTTTGTGTTTCTCATCACCAGCAATTGGTATTGTCAATTTTTTGGATTTTAGTCTTTCTCATAGGTGTATATGGCACCTCATTCCGTTTTTTTGTTTCTTTTTTTAAATTTTATTTATTCATGAGAGGCAATGAGAGAGACAGAGACATAGGCAGAGGGAGAAGCAGGCTCCCTGAGGGGAGTCCAGTGTGGGACTCTATCCCAGGACCGCAGGATCACGACCTGAGCCAAAGGCAGATGCTCAGCCACTGCACCAACCAGGTGCCCCGCCCAGCACCTCATTGTTTTAATTTGCAGTTCTCTACTGACAATGTGATGAGCATCTTTTCATGTGCTTATTTGCCATGTGTATATCATCTTTGTGATGTCCAGCTTTTTGCCCATTTTCAATTGGGATTTGGGTCATCTCTAGTTTTAAAGAGTTCTTGTATATTTTGTATACAAGTCTTTTATCGCATGTGTTTTATAAAGGTTTGCTCCCTGCCTGTGCCTTATCTTTTCATTCTTTTTCCTGTATCTAAAAGTCCAACATAATCAGGGTTTTGTGTGTTTTTCCCCCTGTCCTATGGATAGTGCTTCTTTATCTGAATGAAATTACTTGTTTGAAGAAGAGTCTTTGGGCAGTTTTTTTTTTTTTTTTTTTTTTTTTTTTTTGTTAAATGGGCAGATGATTGGTTGCTTTCCTTTCTTTTTTTTTTTTTTTTAAATACTTTATTTATTTATGAGAGGCAGAGACCCAGGCAGAGGGAAAAGCAGGCTCCATGCAGGGAGCCCGACGTGGGACTCGATCCCGGGTCTCCAGGATCAGGCCCTGGGCTAACGGCGGCGCTAAACCACTGAGCCACCTGGGCTGCCTGGTTACTTTGCTTTGTTTCTGGGTAGCATGTGCACTCGTTTGCTTTTTGGCATTGATTTAAATGGCATTACTTTCAGGTGGTTCTGCTTTTGAAATCACAGTACTATTGGTGAATGACCCTTTGGTCTCAGCAATAAGACATTTTAAATGTAAATGTTTGATTTTTGTATAAGTAGAAATAGATTCATTTGACTTTTTAAATATTAGCTAACCTAATTAGTTGCCTTATTTAATTGGCAATTAATACTTGTACTACTACGTTTTCTTTAATCTAGATGGAATTTATGTTGATGTATGCACATAGTTATTGGAAAGAAAAGCTTGATTCTTTCTAGATTCCCTAGTAGTTACAATGAATATATACACACTCCTGTTTCCCTTTTCTGATTAATTCAAATAAAACTAACTGTAGAGAAATATTAGGGACCTTTGCACATATCCACAATCTGATACAGGAGGTGTGAAGGAAGTAGGTGCTAAGAGCTCTAACTACTAGCTTCTTGATCTAAGCAGAGAAAGCCCCTCTATGATTTTGATGTGCCATCAACTCAGTTTGGTGTAAAGGAGCTTTCTTTGCCTTTACTTTCAGTTTATTATTGTCTAAATTTTGGTCTTTCTGGCTTTTGGCTGAAAAAAAAAGTTCTTTCTGACAGCCACATTTGGTTTCTACAACCATTTGGTTAGTAGGCCTTTTTAGTCTAAAATAATTTTCAGTCCAGTGTTTGCTTTGGGGGACACTTTAAACTTTAGCCAGAGCCGAATATATTTTTTTGATACACCAATAACAGTCTTTATTTTTATTTAAAATTTCAATTAGACTTCTAATTTAAGAAACTTGGTGATTTATCAAGATGTTGAGTCCTTATAATGTCCAAAATATTCAAAGAAGTATTGAGAAACAAGGAGTCTCCTCAGTTTTCTCAGGAATTTATATGAACTAAAGCACTTCTTACCTATATGCTGAAGCAGATTCTGGACCTGCTAGATCTCTTTGGTTGAAATGAAAACAAAACTAACAAAAGGACTGACTTGCTGTATCCTTTTTAAGCTAATGAATTAGAATACCCAAATTTAATACAGTATTTAACATGCAAATATACCGGTTTTTAGGGTTTTTGTTAGGTTTGTTCAGGATTATTTTGTTCCTTTAGAGTAAATTTTCAGCTTCAAATCTTTTTGTTGCAAATTGTTTTTTTTTTTTTTTTTTTTAAAGATTTTATTTGAGAGTGAGCTAGAGAGAATGAGCTGGGGTTGGGGTGGTGGCGGGAGCAGAGAAAGAAGGAGAAGCTGACTCCCTGCTGAGCCGGGAGCTGGGCCCTGGGGCTCCATCCCAGGACCCTGGGATCCTGACCTGAGCCAAAGGGACATAAGGCACCCCTCATCTTGGTTTTAAAAATGGGAATTGATGGTACTTAAGTTTTTAAAAATTGTTTAATTGTTTACAAGTCTGACTCCCTAATTTGTGCCAGTTTCTCAATATTACATAATTCATTGCTACTAGGCCATAAATTGCCATGTGGTGATGAGTTCTTGCTAATCGGTTTTTCCCTCATCCTTCAATATCCTATTTGCTGTATTAGCAAATAAATAATCTAGTATGAGATAACTTGTATTTTATGCTAAACACTAATTTGCTTAAAAAAATTGTAGGCATCATCAATCGTTTCTAGCTTTTGCCTTAAAATCTACAAAACATGTTAAAATCTATGTCGGGTTTCCTTTCACAAGAGATGTCTAAAATTGTTTTATGTAAAATGTAAGATACAGACTTTTCACACTTCTAATTTTTTTAATAGTATATCACAGAGTTGGCAGATGCCCTGTCTTACTGTCACTCAAAGAGAGTCATTCACAGAGACATTAAGCCAGAGAACCTACTCCTTGGATCAGCTGGAGAGCTTAAGATTGCAGATTTTGGGTGGTCAGTACATGCTCCATCCTCCAGGTATGTGACTTTAGAAGTGGAACTTACTTAGTTTGGCAAAAGCCTTGAGGGATTTCAGGAACTAAATAGAAAAGTACTTAAGCACAGATGTATGGAATCCGGGCAGGTAAGCGATGCACATACTTTGGAATAACTTGGACCTGATAGAAATGTTGTGAACTTTTTATTTTGCAACTGCTTGGGGCTATTTATTGTGTCCTTGGCTTGGGTTAAAGATACTTAATGTCCCTAGAGACTAATGAAGGGGACACATGTGACAAGTATATGACAAAGGAAGTGTAGGATGTGTGTAGGGGATAATGCCTGAAGCAGTGGGGGAGGTGGAGACTCAGCTGCTTCCTGGACAGGAGACCATTTCCTGAGGGCAGCGTGCACACACACACACCTAGAGCCCAGAGCACAATTCTCTGGGGAATTTAAAAACCCAAACTGTTTTGGCTAGAACTTTCAGGGTGCAGGTGAAGACTCTCTGGGGTCTGCCTTTGTCAGCAGTATAGTCCTTTCTTGTCTCCTCTTGAAGGTAACACAGAGAAATCTAATGAAACAATTCAAATCTTAATTTTGCAAACAAGAGCTAACATACTGTTTTAAGGTTTAAGCTTTTTAAGCCTCATGGGAGGTAGAGCATTAAAAACATACATCTACTTGTAAGTTTGTCAACTTTGGGGTAGGACTTAAGAAATTACAGCTGTAATACTTAAGACAGTTAAAAATTTTTATAGCCTAAGATAAGTGACATGGTGGGGGCAGGTAGCTTTATTTTTGCTAGATCACTACTGATTGCAGCAATGCATTGACTCTCCTGTTGGAGTGCCCCCCCAGCCTTGTGGTTTTTTTTTTTTTTTTTTTTTTAATGCATAGTTGGTTGTCTGTCACTAGTGGAAGCTGTTGACTTGTGGTGAAACAAACAGTGATGAAGAATTGTAGGCATTTGGGCTACCAAAAGCCTCACCTGGACCTTAACCTGTCCGGTGGGTCATGTGATAGGAAAGGTAAATGTCCTTTCCAGAAAGGATAAGCTGTGCACATGTTGATGCTCCCTTGCCACAGCTCCTCAGCGTGAGTAACCATAGGAGCTCCCAGGTGTGGTGGTTGAGAACCTGCTGACTTGGTCCATTTCCAGGACCTCAGTGGTGATTCGAGGTTAGGTGTCCAGGGAGGCAGCTCCTTCATCCCAGGCCGCAGGGCTCTTTTGAGTTGAGTGCATTTTGGGGTGCTCTCTGGGTGCCAGCATGGTGAGCATAGCCTCAGCCTACCCCGCAGAAAAACCAATGGCAAAGAATAACTGATATAAAGCCCTGGAAACCTATGTGGTGTTTGTTCCTACTTCCATGTTTGCCATCCTCAGCTTGTTTTCAGCCTGTGTTGTTGAAAATTCCAAACATGCAGAAATGCTGAATTGATGGTTGGCTACTCACCTATCTAGTGCCTGCATTCCGTGGGTGGTAACAATTTGCCATAAGTATGGTCAAACATTGGCCATATTTGGCTGTGTCTGTTTTTTTTTTTTTTTTTTTTTTTGATGAACCCTCAAAAATAAATTGAAGTCATCATGTTTCATTCTCTGAGCACCTGAGTATTTATCTCCTGAAAATAAGGACATTGTCCTTATAAACCACAACCATTATTGCTCAGAAAATGAACAGCCTTGTTTGTGTCAATTTGGTTCATGTACCAGTTTCCCCAGTTGTCCACAGACTTGTAGAGCTGTGCTTTTAAGTCAGAGTCCAACCAAGGTCCATCCCTGTATTGTATTTGATTGTATTCTTTTGGTCTAAATTAAGACGAGTTGTCCCACAATTTAAAATGGATTTTCCTGATTGTGGTGTCACTTGGTCCATCATCCTCTGTAATTGCTACTTCTTAATCGAAGTAGGTCCAGGGGCCTAAATAGTATTTTTGGCAAGAATACATCATAGGTCACCCCCAAATTTAAGTATGTCTTTTGTACCCGTGATGTATCAGAGGTAGCATGTATCTGTAATGCCGAAGCTTTCACAGTAGGACAGGTTTTAGTTGTTACTAGTGTCACCTGGCTGTTAAGCTTCTTAGCCTATCTGTGTAATATAAAAACAAATAAGGAACTCCAGGTTGTATTTACAAAGAACTTTCATGGCTGCTTTGATATAATAGTGATTCTTTAAATTTCATCTATTTTAGATCATTTAAGGAGGTTCTGGAGTTGAACAGATTTGAAGTGTGGCTTGATTGCTAGCTGTGTGGTGTTGCACATCTCTCTCAATCTGTTTCCTAAAACTGGGGATTTATTTTTTAAAAAAATTCATTTTATTTTAGAGTGTGCACATGTGAGTGTGGGGAAGGCACAGAGGGAGAGGGGGAGAATCTCAAGCAAGACTCCCTACTGAGTGCAAAGCCTGATGCAGGGCTCAGTCTCACAACCCTGAGATCATGACCTGAACTGAGCCAAAATCAAGAGTTGGACACTCAACCGACTGAGCCACTCGGGCACTCCTAAAACCGGGGATTTTAATCTTACCTGCTTCATAGCACAGGATCTGGCCTAAGCACTCAATGTTAACGTAATTGTTAGTGACATTTAGCAGCTCTTGTGATAACACAAAGAGAAGTACATCAACCTGAGCCTGCTTCCACTTTTAGGAGAACCACCCTGTGTGGCACCCTGGATTACTTGCCCCCAGAGATGATTGAAGGCCGAATGCATGATGAGAAGGTGGATCTCTGGAGCCTTGGGGTTCTTTGCTATGAATTTCTAGTTGGGAAGCCTCCTTTTGAGGCAAGCACATACCAAGAGACCTACAAAAGAATATCACGGGTAAGACCTAATGAGAAATGATCCATTGCTTCTTGTAGAATGCTTATCAGCCTTTTAACATTGGCTGTGAGCTGAATATTCATACTGTTTCTCTAAGCTGCATTTTGTGACTGAACTTCCTATACTCCAGGTTGAATTCACATTCCCTGACTTCGTGCCGGAGGGAGCCAGGGATCTCATTTTAAGACTGTTGAAACATAATCCCAGCCAAAGGCCAACTCTCAAGGATGTACTTGAACACCCGTGGATCATGGCTAACTCATCAAAACCATCAAGTAGCCAAAAAAGCAAAGACTCAACTAGCAAACAGTCTTAAGGATTGTGCAGGGGGAGAAATCTGAGAGGCAGGGCTGCTGATACTGCTGATGGCCTGCCCGTGACCGAGGGCGCTGCAGACAAAGGCCTACTGCGCAGGTGGCACCTCGGCCCCCCACTCGAGTCTACTTAAGTGCACGGTATGCTCTGGAGTGAAAGTAGCCACAGGAATTGTGGCAGTGTCACTAGTTTCACAATTTGGAGGTGAGGTTCACCTGGACCTCCCCACAGCCTGTTTCGAGTCAGGCCTCCTTGTGGAGGACCCACTCCGGGTCCTACTGCAGGGAGAGTGGCCACCTCGCCGTGACTCCATCAGTGAAAGAGGTGTGCAATAACCTTCCAAGTACCTACGTGTGTGTGTAACTTATTGGGTGGCCAAATCTGGTAAAGCTGTCAGGATGAACATGTGATTCTTTCTTTTAAATGTTAAAATAAAGATTTTTATAAAGACTTCTATCTTTACTTTCATGGCGTATCCCTTTAGGACTGCATTCGGTATCCTGGTGAGCTAATCCTCCTGGTCCCCTCTGAGACTGCTCAAGGTAGGAACACATGCTCTACCTCCTTGGGGTTGGCTAGACACCAGTCTCAGCTGTTTCTAAATGTTACAGGGCTGTTTCATGGTTTTGAGGTTTTAGTTTTTGTAAAGCACATTAAGTCATATACATATATAAAATGATTATACTTAAAGTTCTCATGTGTATGACCTTGAAATTATAATGTATTTTCCAGTTCAGTCTACCCTTTGAGAAATGCTGGGCTAAGTATGGGCCCACTGGGAGGGTGGGAAGGCCCCTGCATGGTACTGTCAGGGCTGCGGTTCTGGAGCTGGCCTGGCCTGTGAACATACCCACCCTGTGATGTCTGGGGACACAACTTAGTAGGGTAGCCACTGACCGGGGGCAAGGGTAATGGGAGGGGTGGGTGGGGGGAAGGGGGAGCAAGTCAGGGAGCTGGGAAATTGTGATGGGTAATTAAGTGGGAATGGCATCAGAACTAGGGTGGAAGGAGAGGGAGGATGGAAAGGTTGGAGGCAGGAATGGCGAGAGGTCCCTATAGCCCAGGGAGGGAGCAGCAGAAAACATGGCACCACAGGTGGCAAGCACAGGGCCCTGTGACTGGGTGGTGGAAGGGGTAGCCAGTGCTCTCTCTTTATCCTGCAGACTGCCCTGTGCCCAGTCAGCGTTAGTTCTGAGGTGGGCATTGGACATTCAGTGCAGTACAGGACAGCAGCCCAGCTTATAGGGCTGGAATCCTTGGTGGGTCCTCATCCTGAGGAGATACCTGAGATACCTGATGAGTCAGCAGTTGACAGAAGTGGGTGCACCTGGCATGGCATGGCACCTTTGGGGGGTTCATTATAGCTGCAGGTGGTCAGGATAAAGGATTGAAGGAGTTGGTCATCTATGTCCATACCTTCCCACCTCTGGGCTCTGATTGTTTTCAAGAAGGTGCAAAGAGCTCTACACGTGGGGTGAACTAGTTCTTTGAAAAATACTTTTCTAAGTGTGGCCCTTAATTCTCTAAAGGAATGTCTGCGTAAGTGGAATCTCTCCCAGCCGTGGGGAGATTTGGGTACAGCCTGTGTTCAAGCCTGCTGCCCTTTCAGTAAAGCTGTTGGTGGCTTCCTTTGATCCCCTTACCTGGATCCCAAGGGACACTTGGCAGGTTGTTTTTGTACTTATTACTCTGGAGCCATGCCATGTATGTAAAGTTGAAACATCGAGACACAAATACATCTAAGTTGCATGAGTAATTCTGTTCACTACCTGTTCACTACTGGCCTGCAAAATAAATGAGTAGGTGCCATGAGAGAAGCAGGTGTATCCGTTTTCTGATCTATACTATGTGCTTCTAATGCATAAAGTTACATATTTGTTTCTGGCTGTGGACATCATCTCAACCAGAGAGGGTAAACTTGACCTTGGAAGTGTTGAAGTTCCTGAGAACTAAGAACCATGCTTTTCATGGCCAACTTCGATGCAAGAAACTAGAAATGATACAAGGAAGTGGCCAACGTGGAGAAACTTCTAGGTCAGCTTTGGTGACACAGTGACAGAAGCTTCAGAACACAACTGAGTAAAGCTCCAGGTATCCATCCAGTTAGCTCCCTTGGGATGAAGCTTTTCAGTCTTGAATAAACCAATTTTTACGTTCCCAAAGTAGTATTTCGTGCATCATCCACCCAAGATATAGTTAATATAACGTGACCAACTTCACCAGTGACACCAGCTAAACTGTCATTTCCCAAACAGAATCCCACACGAGCAAAGAAAATAGTTCATTGTAGTTGCACAACATTAACAAACTAGTCACACACAGTGCTGCTTCCTAATCAGCGACAGTTACAGCATAACCAGAAGAGGAATCCAAAGTTCTTCATACACTACAAAGATGTTTATTTGTTTCAGGGAACTTAAGCAGCTCATTTTGTCAGATACAAAATTAGGAATGAACAATTGCTTACATTTTTAAAATAGATGTTTTATTTCCCCTAGTTCCATAAAAACAATGTAAATACAGGCAATCTACATCTTGCTGGTGAAGTCACATATTCCCTGGTCCTTTGATCTCTTTTCCAGGTTTGGTTCTGTTGGGACCACTGGCTGCAGGAGTGGAGTGGAGGTGGGCTTAGGAGAGGCCATGGCTATTTGGTTTGGTGATTGTTTTTATTGCTTGCCCTGTCAGTCCACTTCCATTCCTCCAAACGTGGAATCAGAGTTTGATTTCAGCCCTTAATCCTGTAGGACTGTCAGCTTTTTCTTGCATAGACATTACTAGGGATCTGACTAGTAGGGAGACTGGTAGAGAAGGTGTTTAGGAGTGGGAAGCCAGCTAGGTGAACAGAGCCTGACCACAGGAGGGACTGCCAAGCGCTCTCGCCAGGCATCTGGCTCAGCTGTGTCGATGTCCTTGCAATTAGATCCCAGAAAGGCAACTTGAAATCAGTGAAGCCTTTTGGCAATGCGCTAATTGCTTTAAGGGGGGGTGAGGGGGACCCACTTTAACATTAGTCTTGAAAGGCAAGTGGAGAATTGTCTCTCAAAGCTTCTTGTGAAAGTTAACTGAAATAATGGACGTAGTTACTAAGGCTCAGCCAGGGGGCAGTCAGCAGCCAGGGGGTAAAAACCAGGATGGTCAATTTATAGTTCTCTTAGTTTTCTGATTGTCACCTAGGTAATTAATAATTGGAACTCCCTCGGCCAAGGTGGCAGGGTGGAACTGGTTAATCGGGGTCCCGGTGTGGACCGTGCTGTGTGTGGATGCGGCCTGAAGGGTAGCTTTACAGGAATCCCACGGAAAGGAATTCCCTCCAGTTTGCCTGCTTCTAAGTGCTTCAGGGACAAAAATCTCAATTTGGATCTGCGTGCTTGAGTTTCTGTTCTTAATAATGTCCCTAAGAGCAATGGTTCTGGGCGGGGGGCGCTCATATCAAACATCCTGTATCAGGTAAAACCAGCTCATCAGAAAGTAATTATGCCTGCCTGTCCCTCTCCCTCCCTGGCTTGTATCATTTCATATTAGTTCACATTAACATTATTTCACAGTTGCCTCCCATTTACAGCAAGTGCCTCCAATTCTTTTTAGAGAAAGGAGAATCTTTTTTAATATAACTTTGAAAAGGAGAATCTTTTTCAATATAACAAAATCTTTTTCTATATAACTTTAACTCAGTTAAAAAAAATCAAAGTAGTGATACAATGTAAACATTGTGACCTAAGTTCTGGAATGTCTGAAGTTTGATGTAGAGGGTTCAGCAAAGATTGTCTTAGCTTTCCATGTGTGTGGTATCCAGGTTCACTTGTGGAGAAGGCTGTCAGGAGCTACGTGATACCCCTGCTACTGGATAAAGTTTCCATATTTTCCCTAAACAGAGACCAATGATCCTGACCTACTTTAATGCAGTTTGAGAACCACCAGGTAGGAGCCATCATGTCCAGATCTGAGGGTGTTTTAGGATCAATGAAACACACCAGAAATACTTGGTCATTCTTCCCCCCAAAACATGTGTAACGGACATCCAAGTGTTGATGCTAATTTAGATCCTGGTTACATATTGTTAAGTCTTAAATTGATTCATTATTTGTAACACTGGCAGCTGTTTTGCAGAATATTGCATATTAAACCGCAGGCAGCCTGACAACAGATATTGGAGGAAGGGGAATTTAAAAAACTAGCTTAATGAATCGTTGCCCTTTAAGAATCTAGCGAAGATTAACCCCTGGGGCTTCTGCAGATTAGAACCTCACCAGTGATCTTCCAGAAGGAACATTTTGTAGGCTAACAGTTTTGTTTGAGATGACAACTCAGTTTGTGATATTTTGCTGACATTTTAGATTATGGATACAAGCCCTGTGATGAAGAGCATTAAGACCATTTGTAAAGCAAAATAATTACAATTATTAAAAACCCCGAATTTTTGCTGGCAAAGGTAAACCTTATTCATGAGAATATAGCAATTAGCTTCCTTCCCCCCCACCCCTCCCCTCGGAAAAGCTATATCCTAAAACTAACCCAAAGTTTCTATTGAAAAGCAATAGGTTTTCAGGCCCACAGTTGGAGAGTTCATCAAGGCTTTGCAGCTGGAGGTTTAAAAAATCCCACTTTGCGAAAATATCTGACAATGAAGGGCACAGAAACTAAGGTGATGCTGATTCTCACCGGGGCAAACAGCTTGTGGATGGCATAGGCCACCACGAAGGTACTCGTGCCTGCTGCCATTTTTGACTGCACCAGTGACTCTTTAAATCCGAGTTTAAGCAGGACTGCAGACATGTCCACACCACTGGGGAAAGAGACCAAAAAAAAAAAAAAATCATCATGAGGGGTTAAGTTACACAATTGATTTGGCTCTAAGATTTAAAGTATTTAAAAAATGTGACAAAAGTGGTCAGACGAATAAAAGTTCATAGGAAAAATGTCGTTTAGAGAATCATGCATGACAGGACAGTAAAGAACAGAGATCCTACCTTGAAACCACCGTGTAGAAGATGCCCAAGGAGACTAACGAGATTCCAATGTGCAGCGACACAGCAACGGCGCCGTACTCTTGGAAGACCTTTCTCAGCTGCTGTGACTTGCTTTGCTTTTCCTCCTGTCCGCTGCTGACAGCTCTGCCTGTTGTCGCAGTGATTTTGCTGGGGTCCTGTGCACAAACCAAAGGAGAGATGATCTGGGGCAAGAGCAAGGATGTTAGTAGCTGACGGCAGCTTTCCTGTCGCTCCGTGTTCTATCCTCCTTTCTCCCCAGGGAGGGACCAGTGACTCTTCCTCCTCAGGTGAGGCTAGTGCCCACTTCAACACTGAGCGCACTGGAAGGCTGGGGCTTGCGTATGATCAGCGGGATGATGGCCTCAGGGGTTTCCAGGTCCCAATCTCCAGAACCTGTGAATATGGCAGAAGGATTCTGCAGATGTGATTAAGTTAAGGATCTCGAGATGGGCAGGCATCGTGGATTTTCCGATGTAGTCACAAGGGTCCTTATACGTGAAGAGAGGGAGGCGGGAGGGCCAGGGAAGATGTGAGCACAGAAGCGGACATCTGAAGACATTGCTCTGC